TATATTTAAAATAGTTTTAAAATGTTAAGATAATTAGCTAAAATATTTTTTATGTATGGTATAAATTATTATGCAGCTAATTTTCCATGCATCTAAAGCATACCAGAAAAAAAAACTTTTATTAAAATTTAAATCTTTGGAATAGTCTTTTAAAATTATTTTTTTAACAAAATTTTGAAATAGATACAACAAAAGATAATGGTGGTCTAGTCCGACGTTTGCTAGTAGCCTATCTTTCAAGTTCTAAGTTTGAACTCTTGTGGCGTAAAAGCCAAATTTTATTTTATTTTATTTTTTTTAGTTTGTTAAATTTCTTTCCAACAAGCAAATAAAATAAACCCTTCGTATTTTAGATTTTAGTTTTTCTGAAATTATTTTCATTTTTTATTTAAAAAAACAATTTAGATTCTTTTTTTCCTTCGAACAAAATTTGGTGTTCGACGAGCCCTAAAAAAATTAAAATTCATTTGTGGCCAATGGCAAAAAACAGCGAGCCAACTAAAGATTTTAAAGTGAGCAACTGTACCCTTTTGGGATGTATGAAAAAGAAAGATGTGGTGCAAATATTGAGAGATTCTCCACATGCAAAGAATGGATGAAAGAGTTTAGTTAAGCTAAAAGATTGAAACATATTTAAGAACCATAATAGTAAGGAATGGATATTTTGGAACTTAAAAAACTCTCCCTCAATAAGAGTTTACAAAACAAGTACCACGGGATATATGTTCTTTTTAATTATGTTTGTTTGGATGAATGGTGTGTTACACGTAAATTGTTATTTTCTAATGAAGGGGGAAGGGATATTCATTCAATTGTAGCAATCTTATAGACGGTCAAGGCTAATTTGAATATTCACAAATCCTCTACCACTCTTGCTGATCCCTCTCAAAACACACATCACTATCAATATGAATCTATCTAGTCTGAAAAATTCCAAAAATAAGTACTCCCTCCATTTAAAAATATAAGACATTTTTTTAAAGAGTTGGATGTTTAAAAATGTACGGTATTTTAGTCTTTTGAGGTGTAATAACTGTCTTTTTTTCAAAAGTGTCCCTATTAATAATGACTTTATATTTATTAAGGTGTTTAATAGGGGTAAATATGAAAAGATAGGGTTAGCTGAAAAGTAAATAACTACTTTATTAAGAAAGTGAGATTCAGTTAAAAATTTCTTACATTTTTAAACGGAAGGAGTAGTTAAAAAAATTTATAGGGTTTTTTTCACTAACCAAAGTTTTTTTGAAAATTCACAAAAAAATTACTTTGTTAACTACTAGGTTGAGTTTTTGCAAAACATTATTATAAGTATGCTATTTAGGTTTAATTTGATATTAATATACAAAAAGTTCAGTTATTTACCTACATTAGCATGCAAGGTAACCTAAACAAAAAATTATCTGGTCTCAAAATCACTCACACAACCCAAAATCTCTTTGCAAAAGGTCCTCTGGCTAAGTAAAATGTCAAAGCTAAAATTAAAAAAAAAAAATCATAAAGAACTCCTTACACATCTACAAATAAAAAAAAATTAAGAAATTAAAATTAAATTTAATTTATTTTTTACTCTAAGGCTATCTCAAAGTCCCTGTGGGAGTTGTTTGTAACTATAAAATTACTCTAAAAAATTCCTATTAATTTTTTGAAGTTTTTTTAATCTTAGAGTGTGTCGATTTATTGTAAAGACTTCTCAAAATAATTTTAAATTATGTTGATTATTACTTTTTAACTTTAAAGTGCTCGTAATTACATTTTATACATAATTAAAATTTATAATCTAAATTCACTTTTAATTCATAAGTTGCTCTAGAGAGTTTTGAATTAGTCTCTACAGCATTTAGAGTTATCAAAAATTATATAAATTTTTAACTATTTTCTGTCATCTAAAATAGTTCTAGAGTCACTATTCAACAACTCTATAGTCCCTAGGATCTTTTTTTCATTTTTAAATCCACCTAAACCAAATGGTATTAACTAGAATCTCCCATAATTAAGGTCGCTTGTTGACTATAGTTCTGCTAAGATTACACACACGAAATTAAACTCACTGATTAAAATCTGTGGGACCCGCAAGGATAGATATATTGGGTGGCCCACATGAAATTCTCAAACTGCTGTAGCCGGTGATGATGTTTTTAATTTTTTTAAATTTGCGTGTGTGCCTTCGATTTTTTTTTCTTTTTTAATTTGAGTCTTGAAAAAATTAGCCCCATCATTTTTTTGCGTCATTTAGTTAATGTAGTTCAGTTTTTTTTTTTTTTTACTTTTGCATTTGAAGTCCACAATTAAAAAAATGCATAAGACAAACAATGAAAAATTAGATGATGGATATTGGAAAAATAGTGAGTGTGAAACCAGAAATAAGATTACAAATTTAATTTACACGAATCTTATTAAAAAGATAAGTGTGAAATCCTATAAAATTTTTTATTGTTTTAAATTTTAATTTACACATGATAATAAATTCTAAATAAAATATTTTATTGTTTTTATTCTTAGTAAGAACAAAATAATAAATTGTCGAACAAAACAAATTTTTGTACTTTTATGTTGTGCTTGGCTCACAGAGAAAAATAAGAAGGAGAGAAAATTAGAGGAAAGAAAATATATGCAATTTTCTCTCATCATGTTTAGCTGAGTGAGAGAAAACTCAAAAGAAAAAAAAGTTGTCAATTTTATATGAACAATAATAATCTTATTATTTATAAAAATATTTATATAATAAAATTTAATATTTTAACATATTATATATATAATAAACATAATTAAAAATAATTTTATCCAATTTAAAATTTTATTTATTAAATTATTAAATATACAATAATGTTAAAAGTTGAAACTACAATTAAATATAAGATACTTAACTGGAAGAAAATCTCAGCCCCTCCTTAAAATCACTGAATATGGCTTCTATAAATTTTTTCCCTACCTCCGCACCTCACTCTCCCTTCCTTTCGAAATTTCTCTGCGCCGTCGCCAAAAGGATTTTGAGGAGCGGCTGATCTTGATTCAAGGGTGGGCCATGTGCCCACCCCTGGTTTACTTTTTTTTTTTTTTTCTTTTCATTTTCTTTAATACTAACTATTATTTTATTTATTTATTTATCTCTGTTTTTTTTTGTTATCTTATCTTATCCTTTTTTATTTTTTATTTTCACATTACATACAGAGACACACACATATATCAGAATTATTATTTTCTCCCCATATTTTCACACTTTTAAATTCTTTAGTATAATTTATTTACTATGAAAGGTTCTTTTAAAGCCAAAAATTAAATATTAGCTGTATTTGATCTCAATCTAATTTAAATAATACTTAGGTAAGTATAAAATAGTTAAGATTTTATTTATTTAATCTCACTTAGACTTATAAATTTCTTCTTCTTTTAAAATATGTTGAAACTAAATCCTAAAATTTATTTCATTTTGAGTAAATTCTCGTTACTCAAATTATTACATGATAAATTCAAATTGCCATGGAATAATATCTTTCTAATATTAATTAAGTCTTAAAACTTAAGATGTTACTATTTTTCTCTGAACCCAAACTATCTTAAATTATCTTAAACATGATTTTATCCTGTCTTTAAACTCAACGATGATTTCAAGAGACTTTCCAGGGATGTAGGATGTTACAAGACGCATGCCTTCAATTTGTGGTCTATAAAGAAGAGATTGGCTATAGGAAATTTTTCTCATCTATTCTTTGATAGTTGCTTTTATAAAAATCTCCAAAAAGATGTTCTCAAGAGGTGCAGAATTTATAAAAGCACTTATCGTTGGATCATGCAGATTCATCTTTTACATTTATCATATATATATATGAAGAAGACAATGAACCCAAGTAATCCAATATAAACACACACACACACTATTTTTGTTTAGCTACATAAAATATTAGATTTTAGCTGCATGCGATACATAGGAGTTTAATGTTTTATTTGATTTGAAGACAATAAAAAAAAAGTAAAAGGAAGATTTTAATAATATCAGAAAATAAAAATAAATAACAACATATTGCACTATAATTTTTTTGGTAATTTTTATGATTTTTGAGGTTCTTTTTTTATCAAATAATAGTTAAAGTTAACTTTTGTTAATAGTAGAGATCAAATTATATCATTTTTAAAAGTTCAAGAAAAATATTACATAAAAGATGAGTTTATCTAAGAATTTTTCTTATAATTTATATTTTTTATAATTCATTGTCCATGTTAAAAATTTAAGTGGAATATTTTATTTTAAAATTTATTATTTACATATTAAAATTAAAAATTGTATTTAAACTCAAAAATTTATTATCTTATACTCAAGTTCTATTTATAGAACACCTTCTATACATAATTTTTGGTCCAAAATATAAGAACCCTTGTAATATTTAAACTATTTTGTTCAATTGTATCCCCTATTGATTAGCACATATTTAATGTAATTATATCATTAACAATGAGAATACTTATTTTATCCCATATAAAATATCCTATTATATATTATAATAAAATATTATTTTAAAAAAATATATCATTAATCATTATTTTTTAAAAAAATATTGTGCCAGTATTGTGACGGACAATTTTGCATCAGGCAACATGATTTAGATTTTTTAAATAATTTATTAAAATAAATATGAAATTTACTGTAGATATACAGTGAATCTCCAACACTAAATAAATAGGTTTAAGATGAAAATGGAATTAATTGGAAATTGCTGGCCTAAAATAAGTTGGCAAATGGCAATGCTGGACTTCCTCAAATCATCCTGGTATGAAATTCATGGACAAAAAGACTTTTGAAAAATTAAGCCCTATATGTAAAAGAAAAGATCAATAGTTAAAAATTGGTATTGCTTATATAAATTTATTTTTCTAAAAAAAAAGTATACTTTGGTATTTCGACATTTAATTAGGGAAGTTATTGATAGATCTATGCAAGCATAAAACATGTAGTAACATTATATTATCAAATATCAAATGATATTATGATTAGAGTGAATTGAACTTCTTATGTATATCTAGGATATCTATATGTTACATTATCGACGCATATATAACAACTAAGATTTCCCATACCCAATTTCTGTGTCTAGATCCTTCTCTTCGAAGTCATTTTCTGCATTCACCAATTCTTTTCTTATCATCTCAACACTTTCTTCTGCATTGGCTAGTTTTTCCTTTGCCTTGTTCATCTCTATCTCCAAAACCACCAGGTTTTGCTTTAACTTTTTCATTGTCTCTACCTTCTCAGCATATCCTTTCATATTTAAAGCAGATTTAACAAGAGGCTCCAACCACCTCAAGTCTAATCTACTCATCTCAAGTTCCTCCCACAAATGTTGAAGCTCTTCACAGGCCTTCTCGTTCATATCCTTCCACTTCTTGTTCTTCAAGAATTGCAAAACTCGACCCAATGCAATGAATGCCCACTCAGTAAACTTACGACTTCTCTTCTGCTTACAATCCATCAATGAAGGATGCCATGAACAAGCCTCCTCTAGCAATGGAACCAATGCTTTCTCTATTAGACCCAAATCCTTGAACTCAGCAACATCGTCATCTTTTGGGACCAATGCCCACATGCCTATAGGGCTTACTTTAGAAAATTCAACTTCAATGATGCATTTATCATTCAAAATATAGCCATTATACGGGTTTTGAAGCATAGTCAATTCCATAAAAGATTGATAACCCCAAGACTTACTATTTTCACAGAACTTTAGTTCTAGGTCTGCATTAAAGGAACATCAGTGAAAGATTACGATTATAATTCATCCCATTCCAATTTAAAATTATAGCACACTTACAATAATAAGGCATTCACAATCTAATATTTATTTACACTACTGCCAAACGAAAGAAAAATAAACAATGTGAAGTAGCACGAAATGATACCTTCTTTTAAAGAACTTTCACTATATAATTGATTAACCACAGTGAAAGTGCAGGCTACATTTATACTCCAACCTTGAGGCAAACTAGAATCCTTAACTGCTTTCAAAAATATAGCCAATGACTTCATGCCTAACCTTCCTTTGTATATACAAAGTCTCCTGCCACAATTGTCATTACATATTTGACATATGCAACTTTATCGATGTGGATTAACGTTTAATGCCATTTGCTTAATTACCAACAAATTAAGTGATTAAAAAAGATTAAGCAGTCAAGTGAATATATCGTACACACATGATGATTGAAAAAAGATGAAGATAGAAGGGACGAATTGTATGTATAGAATAAGAGATAAGATATTTTGATGAAAGTGAGAGATGAAAAATATGTGTGCACGATAGATTTCATTCATACCAAGCACAACCACCGGCCATGAAAACATCAGAAAGGTGTCGAGTATTGGTCTTCAATGAACTGAAGTTGCTGATAGTCCATGCTATTTTCTTGTGCGTTATATCCTTAGGCTCCTGACTCTTCATGTTAATGTCAATTTATGATCGATGCCTGCATATAATAAAAACCAAAAGCCCCTCAATTGAGATATAAAATACTAAAAAGTAGTTTCATACTCCATTATTACAAACTTGGAAATTAATTCACACAAGACAAATGGTGAATAAGATTTAAAACCAACACGTCAAGGTTAGTAGTGAATATGGCAAAAGAAACATGCATTGAAAGTTGGAGGAAGAGGAAATATAAAGGGATTAAAATAGAGAAGAAAGTAGAGCATGAGAAACAAGAAAATGGATGTTGCTTTCTTGTTACATACGGGGAAGAGATTCCAAGATGCATGTCATTATTTATGAGACTCAAAAATTTCAGATGTAGAGTAGGTATTAGGTAATTCTTTACCAATGTCACTATTGTCCATTGACTTGCATAACCCAAGATTCCACACTAGCAAAAACCACCAAATAAAGTTAGAACTGAACCGAATTGTTTTCCACAACAAAAAGAGTAATCTATAAAATAAAACAATATACTATCTCACAAATTATTTGATAACAATTTTCTTAAAAATGAATCAATTCTATTACAGGTTACAACTCATGCATACAATATATGGTTCGAGCTCTAGACCTTACACTCGAAGGGAGGTAGTCTTTTCACTAAGGCAACTGCAATTAAAAATATTTTTAACTATATTGTTTTCCGAATAGTTATACTTAAGCCAATATTAATAGGATCAAGGTTTGTTTTTAAATTGTATTCTTTATATTCATAGGCTTGAAGGAAGAGTGACAGCAAACACAAGCATCATTTCGTTTGAAACTAAAATTTCTCAAGAAAAAAAAAACAAACTAAAATTTCAGTTTTAAATTAGTTATGATTTTTCATTTTTCTTTAAATATATTAAATGTATTTATCTATTTGTGAATGTAAATAGTTGAATTTATCAAGCTTTTTTTTTTAATAAATGAGCTCAGCATCTAAACCCACTTTTATATAAACTATACGTGTCTTATTGCATTGAATTGAATTTACCGTCTATCAAACTATTTATAACTGATGAAAAACATGACTTGTTACTCCTTCATCCCAAATTATAAAACAAATTTGGAGGTATTTTGTTGTCCCAAAATATGAGAAAAAAGACAATTTGAAAAACAAAAATTTAATTAATGCTCCTTTTTCAATATTACCCTTTAATTGGGGAGAACATTGAAATAATATTGTAATATAATGATTAAGTATATAGAGATATATTTTACAGTTTATAATTTTGTTTTTAAAAAATAATTTTATAAAGTATCATTATTAAACTTTATTGATGTGCATAATATTATCTTAAATTATAAGATAATTTGAGACAAAGGGAGTGTAATTTTTATGTTGTATTGTATATGATATAAAATTGATAACACGTGATTTATTATTTTAAAAGAACATAATATATATATATTTTTGGGAGAATTGGTAATAAAGGCATGATTAAAACGGAAATTGTGCTCATGGACAAAATTAAATTTAAGGATGAAGCCAAATATTTTATTTATAAAGTAATATGTTCAAATGACCGAAATGCTCTTGTGTCTTTAGCTTGGACATTTCCTCACTGCTCATCGCATCAACGGATGACATCAAAAATCCATTCTCGACCTTGACCAGTCCACCTTCCACCGTCACCCCTTCTCTTAAAGTTGCCCCTTGCCTTCTGCCTTCGCTCCTTCTTCCACCATCGCTGCTATTTCTCATGCCATCCATCACTCACATCTGTACTCTCCATTCCACTGTTCGAATTCTAGATCTGCTTGTGCTTGGTGTTTGAACTCTGTTACAGCTGATTGACACTTCATCCTATTGCAGTCGCTGCCCAAAAATGATCCTTTTGATTCGTTACTGATGCTCATAGCTCCATTGATCCATTGACTCATGGTCTTTGATTTTCCAACACCCTTTGCTCTAAGGTGTTTCTTTTTCTCTCACGTGTTTTGTGATTTTTTTTTTTTTTGACTTAAGTAGCAACGAGCAAATTTCTTGACTTAGGGAAGAAATAGCAAGGCAATTTCTCCTTTATGCTCCTTGTTTGCTAGATTTTTGTGCGTTAGGTTGGACACACACTACTACAAAAATGCAAATTAACGAGAAAATTTAACGAGAAATAGTCTATTTTTTTCTAAAATGCTAAATTAGCGAGAAAATTAGTGAAAAAAGTTAATTTTATAGCTTAGCTTAAAATTAGTGAGAGACTGTCGATTCCTCTTAAAAATAAAATAATTAGTGAGAAAAATAGCAAGGGACTGTCAATTACTCTTTAAAAAAAAAATCAGTGAGGGATATTTATTCCTCCCCAAAACAAATAAATTAGTGAGAAAAATAATGAGGGATTGTCAATCCCTCTCTAAAAGAATATAATTAGCAAGAAAAATAGCGAGGCACTGCCAACTCTTCTCTAAAATAAAATAATTAGTAAAGAAAATAGTAAAGGATTGTCAATTCCTCTTTAAAAGAATGTAATTAGTGAGGAAAACAGTGAGGATATTTACTCCTCTCCAAAACAAAATAATTGGTAAGAAAAATAATGAGAAACTATCACTTCATCTCCAACATAAGATAATTAGCGAGAAACATAGTGAGGGATATTTATTCCTCCATAAAATGAGAAGATTAGCAAGAAAATAGTGAGACATTTTTTATAACTTTCTAAAATAAGATAATTAATAAGGTGATTTTATGTTTAATTTAGATTTTTTTTTCATTTTTTTCTACCTCTTTATTAAAAATTTATATTTTCTTAGTATTTTTCATATTTTTTAACATAAAATTCTTATTTTTTTCCTCCTAATTTTTTTAGGAAAAATAAGTTTTAGCGCCAACATTTATTTATTCCCTCTTTTTTTTTAAATTTCTGAATATTCATTCCCTCCAATGTCTTTTTTGCTTTGGCCAAAATCCCTCCAATGTCTGATCCAACTGGAAAAAATAAATAAATAAGTAAACAATCCCTCCCAAAACGCTTTGTAACCTAACTCAGCTCATTCAGTCTGCCACTTGCACAGTTCTCTCCCATTCTCCCCATGCAACGCCTCGCTCCTCAGCATATCACACCGTCGTCCTCCTCCTCCTCCTGCGACGCCGTGCTCCTCAGCTCCTCCTCCTCCTGCAACGCCATCATGCTCCTCGGTTCCTCCTCCTGCAATGCCATCGTTGTCATCGATTCCTTCGATAAAAGGTACTCCTTTACCTTAATCGTTGTCCTCTCCCCAGAAACTCATCCATTTTGTGCCAAAACAGTTTGTCCACTCTTGCTGTGTCTCTGTTATTGATTCTTATTATGCTCAAATCAATCTCATATGCCAGACCTCCAATTTATTTGCCTCCAAACACGCCTCTCTCATGCGGTTTCAGCTAATAAATCGACCTATCTTTCTTTCCTCCTAAAATCATTGTTATTTGAGAAAAGAAAATAATGAACGCTTATCTGAGAGGAGCACAGCCATTTTCAATGAAAATTTCAAAAAATTCTGCACAGAGAAATTATTTTTTTATAGGAAAATAGAATTTTTTTTCAATTTAATTAAAAAAATTAAATAATGAATGCACGTGAGAATGCTATGACAAGAACAGGTGTTTCATTACCAATGCAATTGTAGGGAATTGTCATACTTGGAAGATGTTGTCGAGGCGCAATTTTTATCGGATTTGGCTTACAAAGAGGATGAAGTGTCTAACATGATTGAACTTGATGTAAATGATGGGCTTGATCATTTGAGTGTAGAAATTGAACATGAAGAGGAACTTTTAAATGTTCAAGACCTCAATTGTGAAATAATTGATGATCAACACAATTTAAGTTGTGGAGACATAGAAGAATCTAAATTTGAGACTCAAGAGGAAGATAGAGGAGAGGAAAAATGATGAAAATGTCCAATATGAGGAGGAAGATGGAGAATCAAACTAATAATATATATTTTTTGACAAAATTTAGTAAGCTTATTAGTATTAAATCTATTTGCCAATATTTATTTATTGTATTATTTTAATTATTTTTTCACATAGTATAATTAACTTTTTAATTTGCTTATATGTTTCTAATAACTTATGAACTCTTTTCTATTGTAATGCCTAGAGGAAGAGTTCAAAGAAGAATATTAGGAGGTAGAGGATGCAAAAATTTTGAAAGGAGTGAAAATAATTCTAACACACCATGCAGTCAAGAGCATTCAGAAGAGTTTGTGAACACACATGTTGGAAGTGTTCGACCACGCTTATGTGTTGTTGGGAATGGGAATTCGCATGTTTATAAAAATTTCAATCCCCATTCTGAATTTATTTTTGAAATTGTAACTTATAAGAATTTTGTCTTGGGGGTTATCCCCACATGTTGCAATTTGCGATACCATGCACTACAAATAGAGTAAGGCTTAAAAGCTTGAGTTTACTCTAGCTGATTCAAGCGTGAGGTTATAATGTATTCAAGCATGTTTTCGAAGACAGAAGCACCTAGCTTCTTTGTATGTCAAAATAAATGTGGGCACTCTCAATGTTCAAGCATGGAATGAAATGCAAAAGCACCTAGCTTCTTTGTTGGTAAAAACATGCTTGACCCACTTCTAAAACAAGCTTGATATAGCTTGTTAGTTCTAAGGTTCTTTAAGTCAAACTCGAATGTTTCCAAGCAAACTTCATTTCAAACGTGAATCATCCAGACTCAAGTGTGAAATGTTACTAAGGTAAACTTTAAGTTGACACTATGGACAATTCAAGCATAGCCACAAAGTTCACTCAAGCATAAATCATAACATAGAAGCATCTTCAAGACACTTTCCCACACTAGGTGCCAAAACACGAGTGTGCCATTCATGATTCATAGTGTAGTGTTTAACTTTTATGATCTAATTCAAGCAAGATTCATTCTAGCTCAAGCTTGAATTGAATTCACTAAGTCCTATGATGTATAAAGGGTAGCAAAAACATGTGTGGCACCTGCCATATCAAGCGTGAATTGGACAAATAAACATAGATGCATTCTAAGGATTTGACACTTAAGATCAAAGGACATATAAGCCTAAGTTGGATTATAATATGATGCATTTTTACCATTTTTCAAAACCAGTGACGACTCTCATTAATTTTCACAATTGAATCTAAAAGAAGAACAAAATAAATAAACTTTTGATACTAAATCTTCTCTTGA